GGACGTCCTGCGAGACGCCTTGCAGTTCGAACCCATCTCTGATTGGGCTCGGAGCCAGTTTAAGCAGTTCTCGGAACTAGCTGCTGCGGTCCGAGAGCACTGGACGCGGTCTTCAGAAGCGCGGGCGAAACTTGCAAATCGCCATAGGCGCACTGTGGACCTTAAGCCAGGAGACCGAGTGGTCTGGAACGCTCCGAGGGCCCGTTCAGAGGGGGCGGGGCGTGTGCCTTGGAAACCGGGTCTGACCGGCCCCTGGCGCGTGTTGGAAGTCAAGGGCCACAGGCTCACCTTGGAGCCCGTGTCGATGGAGTCGGGGGGTACTTCTTCCGCCCGGCGCGGCCCGATGGAGGCGCACGCAGAAGACTGCATTCTTGTTCCTGCGGATGCAGATGGCGCGGAATCCCGCGAGCCGGTCGTCTTTGAGGACGATGGAACCGGCGGGGACGGCTCGTCTCGCCCCAGCTTAGGGCAACAGGTTCAAGGCGACGCCAAGCAAGTGGAGTTCACGCTGACCAGGCGCGGGAGGGACTTCGTCCTCCGCCTTGGCGACCGCATTGCCTATCGGGGTGTAGGTGGAGGCCCTAAGGTGTGCAGGTTAGGACGGGTTACGCAGGTAGATGCTGCCCGTGCGCAGGTCGGCGTGCACCGCTATCTCCCCGATGCCAGCGGGGTGCGCGTCAGATGGCAGCTTGCATACATCGCCGAGGACGGTGCGCTCACGCTTTCAGAGGGGACTCGTCCGGCCCACGAAGCGGTTACCGTCAGGGAGATCATTTCCAAGGTCGACCTGAACCGCGACGGCGTGCTTGCTGCAGCCTCGGCCAGGAAGTTGGACAAGGGAGCGTACTCGTTGCAGGACAGGACGCTCGAGAGAGCGTCTCGCGCCAGAACGGGTGTGCTCTCGATCCGAGAGGCCCTCGCGGACCTCTTGGTCGCGGAACCCCGCGTGTTGCAGCCTAGGGCTTCCCCAGAGTCGGGTGCTGTCGAGAGTTGGTTCCGGCAGTATTTCCTTGGAGGGGTTGCCGATGTCTTAGAGGTTGCTTGGGGTGACGCGGTCGTTTCCGACGCGGCTAGGAGGCACGGGTATAGGGTTGTTCCAGCTTTTGTGCAAGGCAAGCAGGCCTACGGGATCACCTGGAACCTGGCCGCAGAAGGGCACTTAGAGGCAATTAGCGGCGCTGTTTTGCGCGCAGAGCCGAAGGTGCTCGTGATTGGGCTTGAGGGCAAGAATGTGCCCCGAGCTTTCCTTCAGCTAGTCGTCCGGTGTGCGCAGGAACGCACGCGCGCGGGCGCCCACGTCGCGCTGCATTTGCAGGCACAAAAAGGCGAGTGGGAACCCTGGCGGCTAGAGGAGTGGGGCGCCTTGTTTGGGACGCTCGCAGAGCCACGCTGGCCTTGGGCTTTCGTGCGGGCTGACATATGCCAGTTCGCGCGGGCCAGTGGCCGCGACAACCTCGTTGAGAGCGGGGCCCTGTGGCTCGCCGATTTCAGCTTAGAATCGGTAGGTTTGAGGTGTAGTAGGCCGGATGCGTTAGGCGCAGTGCAGCACAAGCACGTTGGGCGCGCGCAAGCCGACTACAACCTCATAGGGGCGGCTTTCTGCGCATCGCTCCAGGACCTTGGTCTGAGGGGCGCAGAAGAGCTGTGCACCGCTGCAGTTGAAAGCTTTCCAGCCACTGCGGGTGCGGATAGCGCCGCGGCTGCGCCACAGCCCTCTCCAGTCGTTCCCCTCCCGGACGTGCGCTCGGGCGAGGACCTCACGCCAGCAGAGCGTGCGGAGCTGGATAAGGAGGTGGATAAGTACGCCGCTGAGAAGGAAGCGTTTTGGCGAACCAAGGCGGACGCCAAGGACTGGGATTCCGTCCGGGCTGACCTTGAGGTCTATGCTCTTGCGGGCGAGAAGGTCGCGGAGGATCCTAGGCGCACCGAGGCCTATAGAGACCTCGTATGGTCGGGTTTGAAGATCGAGCCTGGACCAACCAGACCAGGGCTGACCGATGCTGACATCGCAGCCGTCAGGGAGGTCATACGGCGAAAGGCCGCTGGGTTCTGGGTGGAGGACACCACCAGGACCACGGTCAGGAAGTTCGCCCATGACTGCATCCCCACCGGGCCGCCGGTCTCGTCCCAGCCTCACAGTCTGAGGGGCGAGTCCGCGCAATGGGTCGACGACAAGCTTGAAGAAGAATGCAAGCGGGGTCAGTTGATCCGCGGCAGCTCGGCTTGGGGATCTGCGCCGTTTCCGACCAAGGAAATGCCCAGCTACAAGCGGCATAGGAAGCGACGCTTGGTGGTTGACTACCGCCGTGTGAATGCCCGAATTAAGCGCTCCACGTACTATTGTCGGCGGGGTAGCGATGTGCTCGCCGCTGCAGTAGGTTCGGTTTGGTATACCTTCGTGGATGCGGTTAGTGGGTTTAATCAAATTAGGAACACCAAGCGTGCTCGCGAGGTGTTGGCCATTGTGGCAAGATCAGGGAAATATCTCCCTGTCGGCCTCACCTTTGGCCCGATTAACGGCCCAGATGATTTCAACTTTGTGGTTGATAGGGCCTATGCCCCCGGCAGAGGTAGGCGCCTTAAGTATACTAAGGAGTGGATAGCCTACGTGGATGATCTTACTGTTAGGACGGGTAGGGTCATTGATGGGCAGTTTTTCACTGATGCCCAAGCCGAGGGGGCGGTGCGCGAAGCGTGCGCCAAAGGGGCAGTCGCAGCTCCGCAGAGCGCGTCGTCTGCTCTTGAAGCCTTAGGCGTTCGCGGTGCGCACAACACCAAGCGCGCGAACCATGACGCGGCGCGCTCAGACCAGAATCACCCCACGCGCGTTCTGATGCTCAGGATGTTGGGGCTGTTCGGGTGTTTCTGTGTTCAGGGCGGGTGTTTTTGGGGCGGGCCGTTTCCCAGGTCGCCGGTCTGCGGGCAGAAGGATTTTTCGTCGTTCGTCGCGTGCAGCTTCGTTCCTCTGTCTCGCAGCCAGTGTTTTGCAAGCAGGCCTAGAGGTTCGGTCCAAGGTCGAAGCAGAAGCCTTAGAAGCCTTAGAGCCCAGACCTTAAGGAAACTCCCCAAACCCCCGCCGCAGCGGTTCAAGTGTGTTGTAGAACCTAGGGTAGGTAGTCCCTCCCCGCGTTCGTGCCTGTGCACTGCGCCCCGCTGCGGGTCGCGACCAGACCGCGCGGGAGCGACCGATCGGTCGCCCGGACCTTCGTGGTCAACCACAAGGCCCCGCTGCGGGCCGTGCCCTGGCCGCGCGGGAGCGGCTGCCTACCACTACTGCACACCGGCCCCTTGCAGCGGGCCGTGTCCTGGCCGCTCAAGGGCGCGTCAGGTTTTCCTCGCCCATCGGAGGTCCAGCAAAGCCGCGGGCCTCAGTGCCGCGATGGGTGGAGGAGGGTCGAAGGGCAGGGGCAAGAGCAAGAGTCCAGGCCCGAAGGGCCGAAAGGGCCCGCCCACGATCGACGACGTGCAGCAGACCCGATGCATGCGGCACGGCGAAGCTGGTTGTAGAGGCCGGTTCGCTCCGGGCGGCCTCTACCCGGTTGATGAGTTGATCGAACAACTCGGCATCACCATCAACCAGTACAACCAGGCGGTCGCGCACGACGCCAACCAGCGGAAACCGAGGTTGGATACCTCGTACGCTGGCTACTTGCGTGCCTTCCAAGGCCACTCGGCCGATTGCGGCCATCCTATGGGATTCATGATGGAGGGCCTAAGTGAGACCGCCGTCAACGATCTTATATATCGGCATGGCCCGGCCATGTGGCACGGCACGGACTTGCATGTCGTGCCGAGCCTGATCGAGAATGGCTTGGTCCCCGGCGGCGGGCCGGGAGGCCGCCTCGGGGTGCACTACGTCCTAGGGCACTGCCCCACGCAGTGGGAGGACGGGAGACGCGGGTTCCGCCGCGGATCGACTTGCATAGTCGAGGTCCGGTTGGCGGTCCTGCGGGACGCCGGAGTGCCTATCTATGCGGGAGCAGATGGGGTGGCTCTCACTGGCCAGATTAGAGCCACCGGCATCTCCCGCATCTGGGCACTCCCCAAAGGCTCAGCTGTTTACTCCATCTTAATAGCTGAGTTAGAAGTGGATCGGTTGATCCAGCATGTCGACCTAAGGAGTTTAGGCGACATCAGTGCGGGCCCCCACCCGCCGTTGGGGCGAGGACCGAAACTGGGCACGGTCCAAGCGTCCCAAGCTGCTGCGGCCAGCAGTGGCGCGGCGAGCTCCTCGACGGTTGTGCTGGCCCCTGCGGGCCGTGTCATGGCCGCGGGGGCCGCCCGACCTGTTACCCCTCCTAAGGCCGCGCCTAAGGCCAAAGGGCGTGCTTCAGGGGCTCCTAAGACTTCGATCTTTCCAGCGAAGCCCAAGGAGTATCCTAGGCGCAACGTCCCTGGCCCCAATGCCCTCGAGGCCGAAGACTCGCTCGAGGAAGAGGCAGCCCAAGAAGCTGAAGGTGTCGAGGAAGATAGTTCCAGCTCGGATCTTCCCGACACGCGGGCGCCCCAAGCCGCGGTCAAGGTGAAGGAGGACGAAGAGCCCGCTGGTGGGGCCCAGGCCGGGAGCATAGAGGAAGGAGTCCTCGAACTTGGCCAATCGGTGGTCAGCACCGCGAAGGAGTACCTCGCGCGGTCCGAAGCTCTTCTGAGAGCGCAGAAACTCCAGTCGAGAATACTGGAGGTGGCGGGAACCGCGATGGTGAAGTTAGAAAAGATCACCAAGCGTGAGGAATCCCTCAAAACTCTGCGCCGTGGGGGAGAGAATCGGGCGGCCAGGGAAGGCGCCGACGGGGAAGAGGTGTCTGACGATGGTCAGGATGCCCCCGGGGGTGCGGGATCGAGCAGTTCCGCCAGGCCTTCAAGAGGCGGGACCGTCCGGTCCGCCCCCACCCCAGAGGTGCCTCGCCCCAATGCTGACGGCCACTATGGATGCTCAGCTCCTGGGTGCGGGCTGGCCTTTGAGTCGCTGGTGCAATACCACTTGCATCAGGCGGCCTGCCATGGCGCCTCTCTTCCGCCCAACCTGGGGATCAGCCCCTCCGCACCTCTTGACCCTTTTCGTCAAGACTGGCGGGGACGGTTGTTCCGCCGAGGAAAGGACGGTGGGTATGGGGAGGTGCCCATGCTCCGAGTGATTCGGTACCACAAAGCCAACGGGTACGATCACTCGAAGGTCCCGCTCCTGAAGAGAGGGGACCGAATCCAGCTTGAGGACGGATCGCACCACATTTATGGTGGTAGTCATCCACCGGGGTGGCTTCGCGATGACCCCGAGCTGGATCCCGCTCCAGAGAGTAGCGGTGGAGGGTCCACGCCCAAGAGCGAGCCCACGGAGGAGGCCGAGCATGGACCTCCGCGGGAGGCCGCTCCGCGCGGGCGGGCCCTCGGGCCGCCGACGAGCGACGTTCAGCAACGCCTGGCAGAGCGTCGTCGTTCCAAGCGGGATTACTCGCCAGACCTGGTGACGCCTCTTGACGATCTCCATGCCCAGGAGATCGATTCCTTCTTCGCGGGCGACCCAGCCGCGGATAGCCTTGACGTCATTTTGATGCGCGCCGAGGTTCGCACTGAGTCCCACCTCAACGTTGGCCGGGAGCAAGAAGAGCCCCTGGTCAAGGAGGAACAGGAGGAGGAAGCTGAGGTTGTCAAGGACGAGGAGGTCTCGGTTGAGATGGAGGCAGGCACCGCGGATGAGGGATCGACATCGGGTGGTGGGAGGTAGACCCTCAAACCGCGCCCGAGCAATGGAGGCGGAGGGTTTCTGCCGAAGCGCTTGAAGACCAACAAGCGCGGGCGGATGCCGCGAGGCTTCTCAGCGATGAGGAACTCGCTGAAGCCCTCCAGGCGGCCGAGGAGGCGCAGGCGGCCGAGCGCGCCAAGAAGCGAGAGCGGCGCCAGGCGGAGAAGGCGGAGCGCGATGACCACATCAGCGAAGCGCTCCGCATTGCAGGGTGGCAGTGCCCTAACTGCTATGAATGGAATCTTTCATTCAGGCAGCTGTGCTTTCGCTGCAGCACCCCTCTCCGTTTGGCAGAGGTCGTCTCTCGCGGGATCCCTGATCCGCGGCGTGGCGAAGAGAGGGACTCTGGCTCCGAAAGCAGCCAGGACGAGCTGGAGCACGAGATCCTTCTGGCCAATCTTGCGATGGACCAAGAAACCATCCAACCTCTTCTTAGAAACAAACACAAGAAGAGGGGCGGTAAGCGACGTCGCGAAGAAGCGACGTACGGCAAGGGCCGCGACCCTTGGAGTGCTTGGGCAGATGCCCGTGGCAAGGGCCAGGGCAAGCCGAAGGGCAGAGGCAAGTCCGATGCCAAGGGCAAGCCCAAGGGGAGGGGCAGGTACGCCTGGGGCGCTTACGCCGCGGGCATAGTTGCCGCGCTCCAACCCCGCCCAAGCACAAGCTGGGTCCCAGCCTTCCCGTGCGGGTCGGCCCGGCCGCCGCCAAGTGTTCCGCTTCCGCCGCGGACCCCCTTTTTCCTGGGTCGCGGGCTCCTCAATCGGTTGATGCACGCCCTCAACGGGAACATCAACGGCTGGTGGGGCCTGGCGGCTGCAGCGTCGGCGCCGATTGCCTTGCAGTTGCACCGCGGGGCTGTGCATGTTGTCGAGGACTCCACGCACGCGGTTGCAACAATTTCGGCCGACGTTGTCGAGGAAATCGGTCATGGGGCCAGGCGGACCGTGTGGGTCGCCGGAACAGCCATCACTCTGGTAGTAGTGATCTTGTGCAGCGCTGTTCTGTGGTACGTGAGTCGTGCCGTTGCCAATCGCATTGCGCATCTGCGACATGGCAACACCGCGGCCCCTGAGGCGCGGCTGTCTCAACTCCTTGGCTCTGAAGCGACGTTTGAGGTCGCGAGCACTAAGAAAGGGGTGACCCATAAAGTTTGGGTGCACCTCAAGGAGGAGACAGCTGCCTGTGGCTGTCGTGCTTACCTAGCAGAGGGACGTTGCGGGCACTGCGATGCCGCAATGGACACCGCTCGATCCCTAGGGTTTTTGCACGCGGCCCAGCGAGGCGCGGGTTCTGCGCTCACAGACTCCATTCGGAGTACCGCCTCCGAAGCCCTAGCTAAGGGTAAGGTTGTGTTGGGTTTGGGGAACAGTGAAGGATGCTTCTCCCAACTTGCGGCCAAGAGCCGCGGGCTCTCCTGCTTTCAGGGGCTCGCGGGTCGTGACCTGGCCGCGGCCCCAGCAGATGGAGCGAGCGCAGCCCACGCACAGTCCGGCTTCGTGCAACGTGCCGCCACTGCCACTGTGGCGCGCACACCCAGCCGGAGGAACAAGGGCCCAGTCCCCGCTAGGAGTTCTCCAGTCAAAGAAGCGGAATTCCTTGCGGGCGGGCCATACGTTCAGGCCGCCCAAACGCTGCTTGGGTCTGGAGCAGCAGAGGATGTGATCTACATCCGGGCGTACAGCTTAGATTGCCCATCCTGCATCGAGGCAATCGAAGCGTCGCTTAGCAAGGGCGCAGGCGTTCGGATTGTCGCCGACATGGGACAATGCCACCGCACCAAACTGCAGTGGCAAGCGTTGAAACGCTTGGCGGCTGCAGGCGCCGAGGTGAAGGTGGGTTGCGGCACATCCGTGCGCGACGCCTATGCTCGCGACGGCCGCGGGGCTAAAGTAGGTACCGGTATCCAAGGGCTTCACCATGCCAAGGCCCTTTGCCTACTGCGGCCTGATGGCGCGGTGGTGCTGATTGGGAGCCTCAATTTTACCACAAGCAGCAAAGCCAATGCGGAGGCAGGGCTTAGGCTTGAGGTCGCCAAGACGCACCCGGTCGCGCAGTCCTACATCGAGGATTTCCAGAGGGTGTCGGCTGAGGCATTCTCCCTCGATGAGGCGGTCGCAAGGCGCCCTCAGTTGGAGCGAGCCAGTAGCTCCAACGTTGCTGGCAACGCCACTCGTGCCCCCAACACTGCTCCACAGGGTATCGAGTAGGCTGCGGCCAGTCGGCGCGGCGTGGTATGCATCCACGCATTATCAGAGCAGGCGTTGCAGCACGGCACGTTGCTTCGCCAACCTTTTGCATTTTCTTTTGCTTGACTGCGGGCGAAAAGCCGCGGCAGGTTGGAAACCTGCCCATTTTGCATTCCCCGCACCTTTCTCCTCCGCCCTGCCTGTGGCCCCTCGTGCTGAGGGTGCTCTTTTGCAGGTGCTGCGGACCGTGTCCTGGTCGCGGCAATGCGCTCGCCGAAGCGCGTGTGAGCTGCATTGCCTGCGGCACAAGCCATGTGCGCGGCTCTCGCTGAGTCCGGTAGCCCGTAGGGTAGTTCCAGATAGGTGAGTAGCCGTAGCCGTAGCTTAGGACCGGAAGTGTACAGTGTACCATAGTTTGTACCCTAGTCTGCGTACTGGCAGCTAGAGACCAGCTCGAGGATTCAAGAGCCTCGCCCACCAGCAAAAGGGTGAGGACCTCCTGGGAAAGGGTGGTTAAGGGCTGCTGAGGGTTGCTGTCGTCGTGCGTTCGTTGTGGTGGTGCGGGCTAGCGTCCCTGCCGCATGCCAATGCTCATGATGTGCGGACCACCATGGTCGCACGCGACACCCTCGCCCTTCCCTTTCTGTGTTCAGCGCGAGTGCCTGCTGCACTCCGAGCTCGAGATGAGCTGGAAGCCTCGGCTGAGGGGCGAATGTGAGCAGGTCTAAGCACGCACGTTCCATGTGCAGAGCTGCCAGAACCAGTACTGTAGTTTTCCTTTGCATGTGTAGATTTGCAATTCGTATCAATGCCAATATTTTGGCTCATGTACCGAGCTTGTGCCTTTGAGCACGGTAGAGGCGTACAGTAGCTCCTAGGTTGCTGTGCGGTCCGACCGGACGCACTCAGGCGTAGCTGCACAAGTGCTTGGACTCACGAAGTCGTAAAACAGCGTGACCGGGCTGTGATTGCATTGGCTTAGTGCAAGTCCAGTGCTGGTCGACTTCACAGTATGTATACATACATACATATGCACATATATATATATGTATATGTATCCATACATATATATATATATATATATATCACACTATGGCAAGGTTTAGCACTCGTTGTTGCTATATTGGGGCTCTCGAGATTGTGGAGCCCAGGTGGCTTAGCGCTGCAGTTTGCGGGCCGGCTGCTGAAGCAGAACCGGGCTGTTGTCCTCGCAGCGGTGAGGGACTTCCGAATGCAAGCGCTGCGATGTTTTTTTTTTTTTAAATGTATAATTTTTGCCTTTTTGGGAAAATCCCCCCACTTGTGTGTAGGGATGCTAGAAGCTGCAAATTTTGCGGAAGCCTGGGGATCGAATTCAAACAGTCAACTTTATCGCCGAAGGAGCGCATGGAAAATGCCCCGAGGGCTCTCTACACTAGGGCCTTTTTGGGATGCACACAAAAATTCCATAGCAAAGCGGTTGACGAATCCGAGTTTGCGGGAGAGCGGGAGCGAGATTTCAGGAGACCCCTCTAGCCTTGGAGTTCGCTGCGGAGGAGCTGAAGGGTGACTGGGAGGCCCCGAAGCTTTCCATGGGCATAGGAGGACCTCTTGACGGCTTTTGGGGTTTCAGGGCGTTTTAAGTTACAAGTTCAAGTCATGTTTGAGCCGGGGCTTCTTAGCAGAGGCTTCTGCTGCGGCTTCTATCGTCTCTGGAGTAGATGGCAGCAGGAAGCCTGTGCCATGAGAGGTGGTGCTGGCCGCGGTGAGGAGGAATGGCATGTGCCTCGAGTTTGCCTCCTCAGAGCTCCGGAAGAGCCGCAGGTTCATACTGGAGGCCATCCAGGCAACCCAGGCCTGGTGGCTCTTAAAGCTGGCATCAGAGGAGCTGCAGGCAGACCTAGGCTTCGTGGAGGAGTGCAAGGAGGTGGCAGGGACGGGAATCATCTTCACCTTCTACGACAACTACGACTGCTCGGTCATGATGCGGAAGAGATTCAAGACGGCGGGCGCCTCGGTCCCTGGGGGAAGCGCCTACGAGTTCGTAATGGCGAGGCTGAACGAAACCGAACATGGCAGCGACTCAGCTCAGCATTGCGGAGATGCGTAGGCTGTAGACCGCGTATCCCAGAAAACGTACTCGCGTTCTGAAATCCTGCAACCATTTACTGTCAGCCTTGGAAGCCCTGCGAAGCCTCCCGTGCAGGGTTCAGATAGCTGATACAGCGGCCGCCTGTGCCCAGGCACGGCCACCGTTTGGTTCGGAGATGAACTGGTCTTCGGGAACACCGCAGACGACAGCAGCTGGACCCATCCTTGCAGCGACTGCGGCCGGGATAGCGTCCCAGTTCCGGCAGTCGCTGGCCCGGATCTTGTAAGGCCTTGGTACAATTCTAGCCTACACAAAATGTCGGTCTGGGGTTCTTTAAGTTACGGTGTTGGGGGAGACAGGTGAAAGACCGTGATCAGAAATGGCGAGCCCTCGTGGAATCGCGTAGTGCCAGGCAGGAGCCGGATGTTGGAGTCAGCTACAAGTGCTGCTTGACTTGGGAATTCAGGGATGTTCAAGGCCCTGTTATGGTTTCTTTGGGCGCATCGAGGTTCGCCATGACTCGACTTCTAAACCCTATCTCCAAGGCTGGTGCTGCCAGTGGATCAGAGAGGTGCGAAGGCGCCATCTGGAAGGTGCCGTAATCTGCTGCGCAGTCTCGAACATCTACGAGGCAGCGGCTCGGCTGTGAACAGCGCAGTGCCATATGAACTCGACTAAATAGGAGGCAGCAGAAGAAGCCAAGTCATGCCCGAGCCGCCTCCCTATTCTTGGCATTCCGTCGGACTTCAGCTGTGCTTACTGCTGAGGACTGGTCCGACAAGTATGGGGCGGGATCTTCTGAACTGTCCGATGCGGATGCTGATGCGCTCAAGCTGCCACAGAGCCTCGAACTGCCAGAATGTGTGCTTGACCCTTCTGTTCTTGCTGAGCTGATGCTAAAGAAGCCAGGTTCTTGTAAGGATCTCTTAAGGATCCCTTCTACGCCCCTTAAAAAAAAGACGGGGGTTACCCGGACCTGCCGCTGGACCAAGGGAAGCCTTCCGCAACGGCCGGCCTGATTGCTGGGGCGAAGGTATGATCCGGATCTCTCACGGCTGCGCCTTCAGGCGCAAAGCGCCCGTCCATCCTGACACGCAGAAGCCGTTGGGGGTGGGATGCCGCTGGGAGCGTCAGGTCCTGGACAACCTGGAGATCCCAGTGTATGCATTCTTCATGCCATGAGTCGCGCAAAGCGCAACCAAGGCTGGCTTGCATACTTGTACTTTCTTGTTTTAGACTGGTAGCTAATGCCTTCTTGCGCCCACTTCCTCGCTGTTTACTCGGGGCTGGGCCGATGCCTGTAGTGACTCCTTACCGGCGAGAAAGTTGCAGATACCCGTGATGCTGCATCCGCAATAATAGCACTTAAACAGCAGCTGTCCCGCCCTGGTCTTGAGTGTGGCGCCTCGCGATGAAATTCGCACCACCCCCATTTGTGTGGCGGTTGCATTGGCTGAAACTCGGCCATGGTGACCTTGGGCCTTCAGAACGCAGGTTTGTGCCAGAAGAGCTCAAGTGGGTGATGGGTTCCAGATGCCATGAAGGCCCTCCATTCATGGGAAAGGGGTAAGTAGGAGCTCGAAACCCTTTGAAACTGAGCTTCTATCTCTGATGGGCAAGACAAAAAAGCATTGTTTTTGTGTTTGGGTAGCTTGCCAACCATAGTTGGGGGGGGGGGGGGGGGGGAGATTGGAAGCAGCTCGTGCCGCGGGGGAGAGTGTCCCTTTCCACAGTGCCATGGCTCCGCCGTCTACTTTCTTCATCTTCCGTTAGTCGCTGCTGTTTCTGAGTGCATCGAGCAACAATCACGGGCCTAAAATGCAAAAAATGTGGAGGGAGACTGCCGTGGCGCTGCAAGGTGGCAACAGACAGATTGAGAGGCGACTGCAGTGAACCTCCCCGCCACGAGGGCTGACAGACATGAGGCTGGCCAGGTCAGACGACGCGGCAGTACCTGCGGTAACGCGACAGGTGAAGCGTCAACGGCTCTAACGGACTCAGCCATCTTTTGAACCGCATTAAACGACAGAACGTGTGACCGACCTCGGCGTGCCAGGTCAGAGGACCGTTGTGTGGCAATGCCGGTCCTTGTGGAAAACTAGGGCCTCCGTGGCCTCCATGTCGCACGAGCGTGTGGTGAACTTCTGGGATACTCGGATACTCGCCTGCCCAAAGCCTATACCATCGCCGGTTCTTGTGATTCCCGAATGTATGTGAATGAAGCCTTGGCATCCATGAGTAGAAAGAGGACATTAGGCCATTCTGTGGGATGAGGGTGTCAACTAAAGTTCTGCCAGCACTCAGTGCCTTGCCTACGGGCTTAGGGCTTTTGGGTTTAGGTTCGGGATTTGGGGTTCCAGGAAGGTGTTTTGAGGGACTGGATTCAACAAACGGCTGCTCTAAGCCCTTTAGTGCCTAAGCTCAAATGCCCCAGCCAAGCCCTTGCTTACTCTGACAATGCTGAAAAAATGCGGAACTGCAGCAGTAATGAGATGCCCGAAGCCCTGCTCTAGTTTTGTTTATCCCTTTATCTTACTTCGTGTTTTCATGGCTTGACTGACAAAGGTTGACACAAAGCATCCGCTGCCGGGGTATATTCACATCATTAATGAGAGCAGTGTCATCAACTAGACAGACATCTTCTCCATTGAGAACCCTGATAACAACAGTAGCCATCGCTGGCCACGCTGCAGTGGTCCGGCGTGCGAATTGACGGTCCAGGAAGCTTAGTGGAAGATTGGATATATATATATATATATATATATATATGCTATATATATATATATATCATTCGTGTTGTACATAAACAACATCATTGACAGGCCTTGAAACCTCGTGAGCCCTGCCAGATGGCTGCGAAGAAGCAGACAAGAAAACCATTGCAAAGAAGCCGAGCAAGCCAGGAAATGCTGCACCCAAGTCCTCGATGAAGCACCGAAGCTTTGGCATGTCTTTTCCTAGTATTCCCTGTACATGCAGAAGGTGGAGAAGAAGGGACGGAAGCAGAAGGAAGTAGACGAGGTCATTTGCTGGCTGACAGGCTACACCGCTGAGATGCTGAATAAGCAAATCAAGCCCAAGAGATGCGGTAAGCTCTGAAAGTTTCGGTCACCGACCCATCTGCTCAAAGGGATCACTAATTCACACGAGGGGGTTGCAAGCAGGGGCATGTTGCGACATGTCATGGCACACACAAAGCACCCTCATGTATAGACGGCCCGTGGAACGCATGCTCCAACCATGGGCATTCAGGTGCCAATAGACGTGAAGAGGACGTGCTTCATTATCAGACAAGAAGGCTTTCACCTTAGAAGTCAGGGTTTAGGGTTTAGGATGTAGGGTTTAGGGTTTAGGGATTAGAGTTCACCTTCCCATGCTTGGGGCATGGGCCTTGGACCTCCGATGGCTGCTTCTGCTGTGCCTTCTGAGGTTCCTTCCAGGCTCGAAGCTTCGCTGGCCCAATGGGTCCTCAACTCTCTAAGGACTCCAAATGCAGCTCCAAATGGGTATATGTGGGTGTATATATAAATATACATTATAGAGATATCCTATGCATATACATGTATATATATATATATACATCCCCAAACCACGGGCAGCCTAGAAGGCCGCCCACAATCGGGGCACTAATTTGGGGAACCCCCTCCCCAATAAGGGCTGGAGCCACAAGGGACCTTTGCTGCTGGGTCTGTTAGAGATGAAGGGTTGCGGGTTTAGGATGTGGGGAAGTGTCCGGATGCAAAAAGGATGTGGGGAAGTCCAGTGGCAAAGGGGGTGTAGAGAAGTTTTGCTTTGATGCTGGGAGGCGGGGGGGCGGAGGCTCGTTTGATGTAGGAGACTGAGCAATTTAAAGGTGCGTTAGTGCTATGGAAGGGCAATTCTGATCTCGTGAAACTCTCTTTTGAGACCCAGATTCCCTGGAAGGCTTAGTTGTCAGCCCTGACAGCATCAGCGCCTTCTCTGAGCACCCAGGCGCCTCGACAAAGGGTATATTAGAAGTAAGGCTCACCAGTCTCAGCTGATTGGGCAAGGTAGGTGCGTACCCAGCGTGGAACTTACACAAGGCCTGTTGCTAGCTCGACAATTCCGCATGAGCACCTTACAGTAGGCCTCGTGAACAATTCACAATCCGATTCTTTCAAGAACTGCATCATGACAATACAACCCGGAAGCTTTGAATGCATAGTTCGCTTCGCCATGCAGAGGCCTTATCAAATAGATAAGCACAAGTATTTTGCAATTATGAAGATCATTACAAAATATCACAACATGACATAACGAGATAGATTTAGAGTTGAGTTGCTGAAAGCCCTTTCATCACCCGCACGGCCTTTGCGAGCCGCCTCAAAACCTACTTTTTTTGGTATAGAAGGCTCTTCATCAAGGCAGTACCGTGCAGCTATGCCGAGTTTGTTCAGGGCCTGCGAAAATTCAGCTGCGTGGGGTTTAGGGTGTGGAGTTTCGGGTTTAGGTGACCAAGAACTGTAAAGAACTTCCGAATGTCCGATTGCACCAAATCTTGTGTCCAAAATTTCCCAAATCCAATCCCCCCCCCCCCCCCTGTTCACCCTCTAGTGAGCTGTTATTGGACACCCTGAAGCCTTCTTATCCTTTCAGTACGTTTAGGGGTGTTTTGGATTTAGGGTTTCGTCATCTTATCGCAACCGGTTTCATTTCGCTGGTTGCTTCTCCCTCACCAGGGATCCTCCATCGCAACCTCACGTTGGAGAACCCGCGCCTCATCTGCGCGCATTGAGGTTTCTACTTTCGAGAGTCTGCTTAGGATTCCCTAAACCATAAACCCTAAACCCTAAACCCTAAACGCCCAAGGCGCCAGTGAGCATGTTCATCATGCATCTAACGGGCACGTCTTTTGGGATCTTGCTGCTTCGGCTTGAGTCTAGGGGATGAGATGCTCTCTCCTCCTGCCAAAGCAAAGCCGCCCCCCAACAGAGTCCCGAACTGTGTGAGAAGCACACACACCCGTGAGGTCGGGGGAAAGGGATGGGTCCCAGAAATTGCTTGCGGGCTTCAGGGGATTTTGGGGAGGCCACACGCAGAGGACCAAGAAGACCGACAGTTGAAACACAAAAAAGCAGACGCTTCAGAGACTTCAGCCCAAGTGATGCAGACTAATGGAGCTTGTTGGCACTGTTGCGATACGTCGAGGACGACGGCCGACATCACTGTACAGCTCGAGCTGTCGCTACCTGGATGAAGGAATAGAGATTGAGCTCGCGCATGTAGATCTGTAGCTGCACATCCTGGGCAGTCACCTCCCATGCATGCCGACATGAACCCCACAAGCTTGGTGTACCTAGAGCCTGGTCTGACAACCCAGCTACCTTTCGGACAAGAAGGGCCTATGCATCTCACATTAAGCCCTTCTAGGTTTGGGATATCGGCCAAGCGGCCCAGCTGAAACCGTTCTTCTGCAGCACGAGGCAAGGGAGCAGCAACCGGCGACTGGCAGCGCTCACCACAGATGTCCAAAGCTTCAGCAAGGAGCCTTGTGGAAATCAGCCAGTGCACTCGATCGAAGATGTTAGTTTGGCCCCCCCCCCCCCCGTTTGAACACCAGCTCCCCCATTGCTTGCCCACAAGGCAGCATCCAATATCATGTTCATTTTATACACAGATACATATATATATATATGTGTATATAAGATGTATCATGTACACATATACATATATATCTATATATACATATAGATATCTCATCCGTCATTAAACAATGGCCCAAGGGCCCCAACAGCCCCAAAGCACCGCGAACTCGCACAGGACTCACTGTGCAACGGTACATCGAGGCCGCGCTGGGGTCGTAGAGTTACCGGTTGTTATAGGCTTTTTTGTTCTGGACTCGCGAGAACTGTCATGCTGTGCCCGCCTGCTAGTCATGGTTCCATGTAGTCCTCTGCCAGGGCTCTGTTGCATTGTTCCCTGTCACGGTTCGACCGCACCCAGGGTTTATAGGGTTTGTATGAGGTTGTATACGGTTTAGTACAGGGCTTTGTAGAGTTACTGGCTGGCCACACCTGCATGGTCTGGCGAGGTTACTCCTCCGATGCACATGACGTAGGATGCTTGACCCCGAACATTGACCGGTTTCGCTTTGCCTGCATGCGATGTGTGGGCCTTGAAGCCGTAGACCCACACAAAACCCCAAACCCCAAACCCTCAAC